CCCTACAGGGAGGAGGGAGGGGGCCACTGCATCAGCGGCCCATGGCACAGCTATGGCTGTCCAGCTCCTGGGGGCTGCTCTCCTCCTTTGGGGCTGTGCTACAGCCCGGGGGGGTGGTTGGGCTCATCCGACAGAAGGGGTAGCCCTGGTCCAGACTCTCCCTACGCTGGCCCATGGCCTGATCTATCATCTCCAGGCGGAGTGCAGGCAGCAGGCCCAGGTTCCTGGGATCAGCCCTGGCCAGGGGGCTGTCAGCAGAAACACACCAGGGGCGGCCCTGCTCCTGTGCAGTCTGATAGAAGGAGCTGTGGCTCCTTGGCTTTGGCTCCACGACACCCAGCCTCCTCCTGGGGCAGGTGGATGGCAGGGATGTCCCCAGGGAGGCCTCGGCGGCTCTGGGGTGAAGGGCTGCGGCTTGTACCCCTGTCCCGGCTCGACGGACGCAGGATGAGGCCCTGGAACTTGGCCAGGCTGGGGCTTCGGCTCCGGTGCCGGTTCATCTTGCCTGGGCTGGGGCTACGGGATTTGGGGGCCAGCAAGACAAGTGTGCTGTCATCCTCCTCTTCTGAGCTGCTGCCTGAGCTGTCTGTGGGGCTGCTGCCCTCCTCGGACCTGGGCAGGGAGATCTGCAGCCCTGCATCAGCACTGCTGGCTGATTCTCATAGGTGGCTGCAGGGCACCGCAGCAGCTGGACTCCTCCAGCCAAGCACCCCTACACACATCCCCCCTGCCTCCCTCAGCCCCTCGCGCCTTGGCCATGCTGACCTGGAAGGGCTCAGTCATGCCAGCAATGCTGCTGGAAGTGTTGCTGTAGTATCCAAGGATATACTCGCCCTTCCCCTTGGGCAGTGCATCCTCTGAGAACATCACCTGCAGCCCAGAGACAGCTGATGGGCACCAGGGGTGGGCACAGGCATGCCCCCTCCCATCTCCAACCCCACAGTGATCTCCAGCCCCAGTTGAGAGCAGAAATTCCCAATGCCAGCACAGTGGGCCTGCCCAAGGCCCAGCACAAAGCAATAAGGAGATGCCCTCCTGCCCCATCAGGGGCACAAAGGGGCCACTATCCCCCCAAGCTGGGGCACACGTGCCTAGTGAGATAGCAGGGCTGGCCGCAGCTCACCTGTGCACGATGGTGCTTCTCTAGGCAGCGCTCTCCATCATCACTCCTGGCCCAGACATAGGACACGTAGTCTTTAGGATGCCGAAAGCCCACCTGTGTGGATGGGAGAAAACAGGTCAGTTGGAGAACATCAGCCCTTCTCAGCACTGTCACCCATGCCTGGCTTTAGCACTCCTCTCGCTCAGCCCCCTCTCCTTGCCCAGGGTTACCAAGGGCTGCCTTGCACCCACCCAGCAGTGCCCCTGGCCCTCAGCCCCTCTGGGAGTGCCTAGCTTTGGACCCTGTGGGGCCCAAAGGGCAGGAGGAAGAGGGAACTGCTGGATCTGAGCCTCCTGAAGCAGGGCCAAATCCCACTAAGTGGGATTCTCTCCAGGGGAAGAGAGAATGCAGAGCACAGGTCCGTGCCCTGCACCCATGTCCGCTGGTGGCAGGGTAGCTCAGAAGGGACCCTGCAGCATTGTGCAGTGCTCCCCACTCCCTCCAGCCCCAGCAGCCCCCAAGTCCCTACCCGGTAGAGTCCTATCCAGTCCCAGGAGCTCCGGTGGAAGCCAGCAGCCATCTTGTACCTGACAACCGCTTGCTCAGGCCTGCTCCATTCGTCAGCCACGTAAATCTCAACTGGTGGCTTTTCTGTCTTGGAGGCAAACTGTCAGAGACATGTACATGGTGAGCAAGGGCATGCCAAAGCAAACTGCCCCTGCTGCCCAGGGCACCCATCTAGGGCTGGGCCCTCACACATACACCAACAGCAGCCCCCAGCCACTGGGGCAACACTACTGAGCTTTCCAAACAAAAGTAAAATAAGCCCCACACACCCCCATCCTACACTGCACACTCTAGCTGGGCATCTCGCTCCCACACCTCCTCCCTTGGTGGCCAGTGGCCCTGGACAGTGCTCACCTGCACTGCAAAGATGGCAGCTACTGGCTTGTGATCACTGACAGTGTACTCCATGTGACTGCAGTAGCAGAGCTGGCTCACTGACAGGATGCCTCGGCTGGGCCGGCGCCCACCCGCACCAAGCCCAACACTGGGAGATTTGATCTTCCAGAGGATGCGGTCAGTCCAGGCAGGTTTTCTCTTCTTGGCACTGCAGGGCACAGAGGGGCATCTCTCGCCTGGCAGGGGGCAGTGGGCTCCACCCCAAACTGCCTCCCCCTGGCACTACAGCACACACAGGCAGGGGATGCAGCTCGTCTTGGCACACAGCTCAGTGTGGCTGCAGGGACAGACCTGCACTGGCACCAGCACAACAGTTGGGTCCCAGCCTGCTGTCCCCAGTCCAGCCCATGCCCGCCCCAGCATGGCTCCCCACCATCCAGCCGCACCAGCATCAGCCTCTGCCCCACCAGCACGAGTACCCGCCCTGGCTCCAAGCCCTGCTGCTCCTGCATCCCTCAGCCATGCCACCCACTCCCAGCACACACTTGAGCTCTACTGTCCTACCTGCTGTCATACTTGTTGGTGCCAACATCAAACTTGAAGGTGGGTGGGAAGTTCAGGGGTCCCTCCTGAAAGCCACTGAGGACAGGCCAAGTGCTCTTGGCAATGTTCAGCTGTGGGAAAGAGGGCAAGTCAGGGAGCACTCCAGCCCCTGTGGCCAGACCCCTCTGCAAGCCCCCAAGACCTCTCCACCCCCAGCACACAGTCATCCCCACCCCATTGCTGCCAGCCCTGCACAGCTCTCAGGGTTTGTCCATACCATGCAAGCAGCAAGTCCATAGACGCGATGCCCCCAGCTCTTCCTAGCACACTGATAAAGGAAATATGTGCCCAGCTCCCATAAAGACCATTCTGACTGTGCTGTCCCTTCCCCATAGGGCCAGGAGAGCCAGGGCCCATTGTGCCCCATGAGCAGCAAGGGGACATGCCCTGTCCCACAGCTGCAGGGGCAGTTTTGTCAAGAGCCAAATGCCACACAGGGCCTGACTGAGGCTTGGCAGCATGCCCATCCTTCTCACCTGGTCCTTCTCCCAGAGCTGGCTCAGGATGTTGCTGTCGATAGCATACTTCACAAAGCGGATGTCGAGGCTCTCGATGCGGAAGTTGAGGTCCCCAAACCAGAACACAAGGCTGTGGGTGGGAAGGAGGGCAACGGGCTGGAAGGGCCAAGGCTACTGGAGCCGGGCAGCACAGCAGGGGGAAAAACGTCCTCAGCCTGTGGGCAGCCTCAGCCTGCAGCACAGGCGCTCTCGGGAGCACCAGTGCAGGTCAGTGCTCAGCCAACAGCTCGGCCAGCTGCCAGCCCTGTGAGGATTCCTCAGGTAGGACCAAGCACCATCAAACAAATGGGCTTGACTTCCCTGGACAGAAATTAAGGGTGGAAATTTCCACCGTGAGGCACCTACGGGAGTCAAACTGCACAGCCAAGACAGTGAGGCAGAGCCAGGCCCTCCACCTCACCAGTCCCAAACCCCAACACCCCCAGTATGGCAGGAGCTGCAGTAGGCCTGGATGTGTCCCAGGGGAGACCAAGGACCCCTCTTAACACCTACCACACTATGCAAGGTCCCCACTGGTCCACAGGACAATTTTGCAGCTCTGCAGGCAAGACCCCATCTGCAAGCTGTGCTGGGATTCAGGGGACAGACCACAGACTCTGGTGGCAGTCAAGGACAGGGCCTGGCAGTAGAGCCCTGGCCCTGACTGGGGAGCAAATTGGTGGGGTACGCACTCATGGTCCAGGATGCCACTGGCTGCATCCCCATCGAACTGCTGCATGTGTAGTATGGTGGCAAAGTCCTCCTTGCGCTGCTCTGCCTTCTCCAGGTGCGCTGGCAGGTGGCAGTTCAGGAAGCAGACCATGTGGCCGAAGATGGAGAGACGAACGCTCACTCCACCCTTGTTGCCCTGCACCGAGAGGATCCCATGACTCCCTGGGAAGCCAGCCCCTTGTCACCTTTTCCAGGTCCACACTCACCCAGTAGCCTCCCAGCCCAGTCCTCGTGCAGTCTGTCTGGATGTCCTGCAGGAAGGGGAGGTGGTAGTACTTGGCAAATACCAGTAGGATCACACCTTGCATCCGCACCGTGCTAACCTGGAATGGGAGCAGGGGCTGAAGCGGGATGGCAGCCACAGCAGAGCCCACAGGGGCAGGGACAGCTTCCCCCACCTCCAGGCCATAGAGGCAACACCTCCATACTCTGCATGCCCCCCAATCTTGCGGATGACTAACAGCACATTTAGTACAGCGATCTACGCACATCCTCCAGAATACTAACAGCTGGGATAAGCTCAGCGATGCCAAGGCACATGTATGCACTGTGGCAAGTGCCCTGAGGAGCTGAACCTGCCCTGGGACCCACCAGCTACTGCCAGAAGCACAGGCTTATTCCCACATTCACCTCCTTGCCCTGCTGCAATGCAGCAAGAAGTGTCCCCAGAGCATCACAGGGGAAGCCTAAGGCACAGGAAAGGGAGCAGGGTGGCACAAGCTAGACAGCAGGTGCACTGCTATCCCTCAGGTCAGCCCCCACACGTTTCTCGGGCAGCTGCAGGCTGTCCCTTCAGCCAGCTCTCCCACCGCACCTCCTCCCTTCATCCCTGCAATCCAACTCTCCTTCCCCATGGTCCACCCACCCAGCAGGCCCAGAGGGAACACCAGCTGCACAGCCCCTTTGGGACCCCCTTACCAGGACAAAGTGGAAGGGGCTCAGCACATCCATGAAGAGCTCGCTCCACTGATCTGTGAAGAGGGCATCCTTCAAGCGCTTGTTTATCTTAGAGTTCACCTCTTGCAGCCTGGGAGGAAAGGGACAGATCCCACAGCCATACCAGGAAGGCGTCCATATGCCCCAGCTAGTGAGAGCTCCTTGGGAGAAGAGCCAAAGTGCAGTGCTGGGGGGCAGGGCCAGGCGGGAAGGGCAGTTCAAGGGAGGACCTTCAGTTTAGAGCACAAACCAGCTATACCCTTGCTCCAGTGATGCTGAGCCATGTGCTAGCAGAAGGCACAAGTGGTCCTGAACCCATGAGGCCTTGGCCCTTCTTAGAACAGGAGCAGTACAGCTGCACAGAGCTGGGCAGCAGTCTAAAGCCTATCTCTAGGTGCAAGAGGGGCTGACAGGACATTTCAGCTGCATTGGTCTCTACAGAGAAGCCAAGTCTCAGCAGTACTTTGGTGTCCAGGTGCATCCTAGCCACCAAGCTCAGAGCAGCAGCAAACAGAAGGTTAATAGTACTCCTCCCAGCTCAGAGGGAAGGAGAACACCGAGAACATCCGCAGAGAACGGCAGAAATCTGGAAATGTCTTGCCCAAAAACATCAAGTGCTCAGGGCACAAAGCCATAGGTCAAAGGAAGGACACAGCCAAGCAGAAATGCCCTGGAGGTGGACAGCAGCAGGACACCCTGCCCCAGCTGTCAGCTACACTCTATCCCATCCATCCAGGCTCAGGTCTGCCTCCACAGCCCCATAACACTCGTCCACAAGGCCAAGGGGACCAGGAGACTGGCTCCAACACAGCATTGTAGCTCCAGCAGCTGCAGCTTTGCTCCCTCCCTGGGGCAAGGAGCACTGGGGAGTCCCCGGGAGCCTCCTGGAGGCAGACGCAGCTCTTTACCTCATGCCGAGGGGCAAAGGCTGCTTCTTGCTCCCTGTGCAAAGGCAGCATGTCACTGGTCTTGGCAAGAATTCACACACACCATGGCAAAGCTCAAGGGACCAGTTTTCCCTTAGACTCTGCAAGAGCTTGCCTCACCAGTCACACCAATAAAGCTTTACCACACCGACACAGTGCTGCATTGCCAGCAGCTAAGTGTTGCCAGGGGTGCAGAGCCAATCCAGCTCTATGAGAGAACAGCAGATTTGTGCCCTTGAGGCCTGCATGCCATGGGCAAAAGCCGAGATGAGGAAAATGCACCCAGAGGACTCTGGCAGGCAAATTAAATGTCTCTACAGACCTGACTGCCAGGGCTCACAGCAAGAGCAATGCTTGCTGAGGCCCAGCTCTGCACAGCATAGCCAACTACGGGCTCTTTGAGGGTTCAAGGCTACTCAGGATTCAAGGGTTTCAGTTCCTCTTAGCACTCCCATTTTACTAGGAGCTGATTCGCCATCACCTTTTCTGGTATTTTAACACTTGCAATGAACACCCCTCCCTGCTCACCATCCCCCAGGGGAGGCTAGGGCTACAGCTCTTCCACTGCCCTTGCCCCAGCGCTATGGGGATCCTCCAAAACGGGAGGTGGCGGAGCAGGGGAGGGGGTCCTACACCTTACCCAATGGCAATCATGTCCGCATCATTTGTCTCGCCCGTGTTGAGGTGCAGCAGGGATGTCACATCATTCGGGGGCATGGCTGTGCCCACATTCCAGGTGACCACTATGATGCTTGGGAGGACAAAGAAAGAACAAGCTAATACTGGGGCTTGGAGGTATTCCCTGTCCCCACCCCCATTCAGCCCCCAGCTCCACCAGGGAAGCTCTTTGCCTGCGACAGAAGCAGCCCCAGCTGAAGCTTAGCCAGGGCACATACACCAGGTCCTTAACTCCCATGTGAGGGAAATGGGTCCTTGCCTCTGAACTCCCCCAGGGTCTGCACCTTGGCACATGGCAAGCCCCAGTGAAATTCTAGAAGCCAGCACAAACAGCCCTCCTTTTCATGATTGCTGACTGACACAGGCAGGCTGGCACAGCAGGCAGCCTGCAAGACAGGGTGTCTCCAGAAAACTGCTTCCCCTCCCTTCCCAGGAATCAGGCATCCCTCTGGCTCCTGGTGAAAAGGACCCAGATCTCAGCCCACAGAGTCTGCCACAGAGCACGGCCAGCCCCAAAGGCCAGGGCATCGCACCTGACAGCAGTGCTGCAAGCCTCACAGCAGTATCCTTCACCAGAGTAAAGCCACCATCAGTCACAACACATTAATGCTGTTACACAGCATGTGCCAGTGGCCTGCGGGCTGTTTTGGCAGACTAGGATGAGCCTCAGTCACAGGGGGCACATTTCAACAGCGAGGGAGGGTACTGCCATATCATTTCCAGAGCTCAGGGACAGCCGGGGCAGATGGCACCTGCTCCACAGCCTGAGCCTCCAACACAACACCCCATGCAGCACCCGCTGCCCTGAATGCTGCCTGTGCAGACAGTGGGTACCGGACATCCTTCCCTCGCCATGAACCCCACGTGTCCACAGCCCCTCGCCCCAAACCTCCTCCAGCTGAGCACCATCCACAACTCCAGCCCACAAGAGGCTTCGCTCCCTGCTC